TCACCACGCGACTTCTCTCCCATCCCGAAATAGCAGGCCGCTGACGAAGCGGTCATCGGGTAGAAGGGCCAGCGCGGCCGGGGTCTGGGCACCCTCCTCGGCGCTCTGCACGCCCTGGTTGCGATTCTGGTCCGTGGCGCAGTACCCCGGATCCACGCTGTTGATCATCGCCTTCGGCTCGTCCCTGGCCATTACCCTGGTCAGCGCAATTATCCCAAGCTTGCTGACTCCGTAGCACGTGTTCGGCCACCCGCTCCGAGCGTGCACGCCCGCCTCTGCGTCCCGCACGAACTCCCTCATCATGGCTTCGAGCTCGCTCACCTGCAACGTCGGCGAAGTGAAGGCCTTCCAGAGGCCAAAGGCAAATGAGGAGGAGGAGGAGGAGAAGGAGGAGGAGAAGGAGGAGGAGGAGGAGGACGAAGATCAGAGCCTCCAGCTTCTCGCGGGAGCGAAGAATCGCCAGGCGCCCTGCGTAACTCGCAACGTTGACGATGCGGGGCGACGACGAGGCCTGCAGAAGAGGCAGCATCGCCCGCGTGACCGCCAACGTGCCGAAGAAGTTGGTGGAGACCGTTATGCCCGCCTGCCTCTCGAACGGCGTAAACTCGCACGCACCGTAAAGCGTAGGGTCGTTGAAACACACGGCGGCGTTGTTCACCAGGATGTCCAATCGCCCGAACTCTTCGCCGACGAAGCGGGCCGCCGCGAGGGCGCTGTCCGGATCGGTCAGGTCCAAGCGCGCGCTCACGGCGGTGCAGCCTGCCCGACACAACTCCTCCGCCGCGGCGACGCCCCGTGCCTCGTTCCGGGCGCCGATGACGGTGGTGACGCCTGCGTCAGCCAGCTTGCGAGCGATCTCCAGGCCGATGCCCTTGTTGGCGCCCGTCACCAGCGCCACCCTCCCGCTCGCCATTGCCACCGGCAGGGCCAGCCCCCGCCCACGGGTCGCGGCCCACAGGCACGCCAGAGCGGGCAGAGCCAGCGCCAAGGCGCCGTGCCGCGACACCACCCTGGCCATGCTCCTCCTCCTCCTCCTCCTCCTCCTCCTCCTCCTCCCTCCTCCCTCCTCCTCCTCCTCCTCCCTCCTCCTCCTTCTTCCTCCTCCTCCTCCTACCTCTTCCTCTTCCTCCTCCTCCTCCTCCTCCTCCTCCTCCTCCCTCCTCCCTCCTCCCTCTTCCTCTTTCTTCTTCTCCTCCTCGCACCCAGTCGCAACTCCAGACCGGCTGGGCGCGGCCAGGCCAAGTTCCAACCGAGGGGGACTGAGCCAAGATGGCCACGGAGGCGAAGGAGGAAGTCAACCCGGACAGGTCGACCGAGTCACCGGGCCCCGCCATCTCTAAGCGCCCCGCTCCCGCAGCATGAGAGCCAATGCTTGCGCAACTTGGTCTTGGGACTGGCGCGCGCCCCCGCCTTGCGAACGGAGGGCGCGGTCCCGCTTCCGACCACTTGGCGAAGGGGAAGACACATCAAGACGAAGCCAGGACGAGGGTTAAATCGGGTGAGGATACATTGAGAATCTCTGAGATCCAGCGGCTCTGGAGGATGTCTCGGGCGCCGCAGCCTGCTCAGAGCATTCTGGACCGCTCTGAGAGCGTTCTGGAACGCTATGGAACGGATTTATCCTCGTCCTAGCCCCGTCCGACACATGCCGCGCACGGGCCAGATCAGCACGAACTTGGAGAGGGGAGATCGTTACACAAAACTACTCCGAGAAGGGTGTTCTGGGATCCTGGAGGAGGGGCTCGTTCAAACACAAAACCCTTCAGGAGGGGATTTCTGGATCCTGGAAGGGGGTTCGTTCGCTTTTCTGTGATAAAAAAAAACATTCAGAGAAGCCTGGCGCGGCGCTGCGGCGAAACTGCAACTGCACCCATCTCGCGCAGCGGCGAGAGTGGCCCGATGAGCGGCGACGGCAGAGCGTGCGCAGCGTCGAGGCAGCACTGCAGCTTCCCCGCAACGTCTGCGCAGCGCTTGGACTAAGTCGGGCATGGCCCTCTACAGGAGGAACATTCAAGAATACTCAAAGATAGTCTGGTGACGATTGCTCGTGCTCTTGTGACTGTTCTTGAAGACTTGCTCGACTCTTCCTGACTTTTCTTCCACGATCCGCCTGTTGGAGGACATGCCCGACCTAACCCTTGGGCGAGGCCACTTCGCCCTCTCGCGCGCGGCCCCTCTGCCACTCTCTGGCGAGAAAGGCGAGCGACACGTCTGCGCCGCGCCCCCGTGGCAGCGCCGCTCTCGCGCGAGAGATCTCCACGGCGCGTGGGCGGGGGGCGACCTCCGCCCGCTCTCGCGCGCAGCCCCGCCCTCGACGATTGGACGCGTGCCTAGTGTGAGCCGCACCCGCGCGGGCGAGAGCCCACGGTCCGGCGCGCTCCGCGCCGCGCTCGGGCGAGATCCGCGTTCGTTCGCCCCCTCGCGCGCGACAGCCCCGCGGTCTCAAAAGATACCGATGCCGCTACTCCCCGGACCTCTCCTGGGGTGCGCTCTGACCAGAATTTCGAGGCGAATCCAGCGGTTGCGACGAGATCCTCCGAGGAGGCCCAAAAAGGGGAAAACGGCCGAAGGGTGCAGGTATGGGTATCCTCCGACGCGCCCGAGCCGGAGTTCAACTCCACAAGGAGAGGGCGGCGCGGCGCAGAGTCGAGAGCGGCACGTCGCCAGGCCTTGTCGCGCGCATGTGTGCGCCTCGTCCCCTTCCCCGCCGCGCGTTCTGCGGTGTGGGCGCCGCAGCGCTTTTCGTTGGGAGGGAAGCATTTGGACAAAAAACAAACGACACCACATGGGCCGTAGTGCAACATGGAGGGCCGTAGGTGGGGTGGCGTGGCTTGTCTTTTGGTCGAGCATTGAAGTCGCTCTGCTTCCTGACGAGCGGGACGGAGCATTCCAGATCGAGCAGTCATCGGGCGGCTAAGGTGGCAGAGCGAGAGCGCGCGTATGTAATACAGGGTCGGCAAACACACATATGCATTCGTCTACACATCTATCGCGTCTACACATGCTGTATACAGTCGGACCTAGGCTAGAAGAGCATCCCTCAAGAACATGAGACCCTCCGTCGGACGAACCACACACACATAACACATAACTTTCAAGGGTACCCTCCCCAGGACGCACAAGAACAGCCATCAAGCACGAAGAACACTAGAATACCCTCCCCGAACCGACCTCGATCTTACCCCTCGGTCCAAGTGTATACAAATGTGCGCATACACATATACACCTACATATACATATATATACACATATAGAGACACATGTATATATATGTATATACATATATATATATATATACATACTAGAACCATCGCGCGCGCTTCGCGCGCGCTCAAGCTCTAGCTAGGCTGGATGGTCGAACTCTTGGAGGTCTGTATTCCATGACACTTCTTCCCAGGGTCTCCCAAGAACCACGAAGACGGCCCAAGTGGCTTTCAAGACTTCCTACGGTCTACCCACGACGGCTTAAGACAGGCCCACGAGGTACTTCGGGGGCCATTTTATTCGCCGCGGCTGGACGTAGCCGGAGGAAGAGGGAGGAGAAGGGGAGGTGGGGGGAGAAGGAGTAGAAAGATGAGGAGTTGGAGAGGGTGGAGGAGGCTGCAGAGAGGAGGCACCGGAGGAGGAGGAGGAAGAGAAAGAGGAGGAAATGTGATATATTTGTTTTTACAAGCGTAGCGAAGATGCCAAGCGAACTTTAAAAAGGAATGTTGAAATTCACGTTTTTCTCAAATGCCCTCGAAGCCTCTCTCGGGGCTCTTTCGGGCCTCTTGGGGCTTCTTGGGGACCTCTTGAAGCCTCCTGGGGGCCTCCTGGGACGAAGATCTCGGGTTCTCGGTTCACGTTCCCGATCCTGGGCCGCGGTTAGGGCCCTCTCGGGCCGTCTTGGACGTCTCTTCGGCGCTTTTGAAGCCTATTGGGCCGTCTTGGGGCGCTTTTGAAGCCTATTGGGCCGTCTTGGGGCGATCCTCAGAGCCTCTTGGGGCGTTTTGCAGCGTCGGGAAGCGGAACAGGCGGAAACGCCAAAATTGTTCACAAGCCGATGGAACATATATGTTTTTGGGCATCTTCGAGCTCTGTTGGGAAACCTTTTGGAAGCCTCTTGGGCATCTTGGGGGCCTCTTGGGCCGTCTGGAGGCCGCCTTGGGCGTCTTGGACCATCTAGTGGACTTCGGCCCATCCCGCCACCGTGCCTGGGTTGTGGGTTAAAGGCCCCTTGGAAGTTCGCTTGGAAGTCGTGGGAGGCCTCCTGGAGGCCTCTTGAAGGCCGTTTTGAAGGCCTCCTGGGAGCCGTTTGGGGTGCTCTTGGGGCCTCTCTTTGGGCCTCGTGGCGCCTCTAAGAAGCCTCGGGGGCCTCTTGGGCTCTCTTGGGGGCCTCTTGGGGCCTGCTGGGGGCCTCTTAGGGCGGAAGGCTCGAATTGTTGGTTCGTGTTCCTCCTCTTGAGCCCCTCTTGGGGCCGCTTTGGGACCCTCTTGGGCGATCTTAGGCGCCTCTTGGGCCGTCTTGGGGCACTCTTGGGCCGTCTTGGGACTCTCTTGCGCCTTCGTGGCGCTCTCTTTGGGCGCCCCTTGGGCCGGCTTGAGCTGATTTCTGGGGCCTCGTGGGCTGTCCTGGACCGTCGGAAGCACGAAAAAGCGAGAACACGAAAAACCTTCAAAAACCTTGGAACAAAAACCTACTTGTTTCGCTTCCTGAGGGCCTCGTGGAAGTCCTTTTGAGGGCATCCTGGCCGTCTTGAGGCCCTCTTGGGCTGTCTTCAAGCCATGTTGGACCAATTTTGAAACGCTCTTGTGCGGTCTTGAGCTCTCTGGGAGCGCTCTTGGGCCATCTTGGCGACCTCTTGGACGTCTCTCGGGCCATCTCTTCGCCCCCCTTCCCCTCCTTTGACGCGTTTTGGCGCACCCCGATGGGTCCAAAACGGCCGGATACGAAATCAGTGCACTCCGGGCCCCCCGGGACCCCCTCCCCATTTCTACACACATACATACATACATACATACATACATACATACATGCATGCATGCATACATACATACATACATACATACATACATACATACACACATACATACACACATACATACAGACAGACAGACAGACAGACAGACAGACAGACAGACAGACAGACAGACCGACAGACATATATATACATACATACATTACATTCCATTCCATTCCATTCCGTTCCATTACATTCCATTCCATTCCATTCCATTCCATTACACTACACTACATTACATTACATTACATTACATTACATTACATTACATTACATTACATTACATTACATTACATTACATTACATTACATTACATTACATTACATTACATTACACTACACTACACTACACTACATACATACATACATACATACACACATACCTACATACATACATACATACATACATACATACATACATACATACATACATACACACATACATACACACATGCATACATACATACATACAAGCACACAAACAAACAAACATACAAACACACAAACATACAACCATACACACATACAACTATATAAACCTACCTACCTACCTACCTACCTACCTACCTACATACACACATACATACATACATACATACATACATACATACATTCATACATTCATACGTTCATACATTCATACATTCACACATTCATACATACATACATACATACATACATACATACATACATGCATACATGCATACATGCATACATGCATACATGCATGCATGCAGACGTACGCACGCACGTACGTACGTATATACATACATGCATACATACATACATACATACATACATGCATTCACACATGCAGACATACATACGTGCGTACATACGTGCATACATGTACACACACGAAGAGGAAGGGTCGGGGGCAGAGCGGGTAAAGTTTGGTCTGGTGGCGTGGCTGGACTCCCTCTGTTGGAACTGCGGCCCACGAGAATTTGTGCAGCCTCGCTCACAGGTCGGCTTCTTTCTCCGTCACCCAGATGTCAACCCTATCCGCGAGCGCTGCATATCACCACAGCAAGGCTGCGCCAGATCGTGAGATGGGGGGGCGCCATGTCAACAAGGAACCCCACAATATCAACGCTCCGCCGTCGAGAACATGCAGATCATTGGGGCATGGGAGACGCAAGCAATGAACTAACAAACGAGGTAGGTGTACCGAAAGGCTCGAACGGCTCACAGTAGGCTATTGTTGGGTCTGGGGCGAAAGGTGAAGCAGGATGGGGTGCTGTTCTGGACGGAAGCGGATGTCCGCCTCCTAATCGGCCTCTCCCCGATCCTATGAACATTGTTAGGGTTCCATCCCGGTTTGAGTGATGCTGACATCCATGTGGTAGCCGCCCCAAACTATCATCAATGGCCATGGTTCCTGGTCATGTGAAGCGCAATAACGAACAACGTTTGTTTTGAGTCGCTTGCCAAATGGCTCCACAAACCCTTGACAAGGCTCCGCCTGGAACGAATGTACTATGCGAAGTCCAACTGGTGCTGGGCCGTTTGGTTCAAAATGGAGCCTTGGCGGAAAACCGAAGTCACGATGCGCCCCTGGAGCAGCTTCTACACGCGAGCGATAGTGACACGTTTTCGCTGGTTCGTCCTACCCAACGGCAGTATGGCCGTGACTGGCCCCTGGCCAGCACGCGCGAAGGAGCGCAAGAACGTGGGTCCAGACAATGCGGGGTCTGATCGCTTCTCGGCTCGCAAGAGCCAACAAGTGCTACCCTGTCAGATTGAGAGCATGTGATGTGATTCGTGTGCGGCGGCAGGGCGAAGCGCCACCTGCAGGGCGAAAGGGTGCAAAATAAGACACCGAGCACAGTCCTCGTCCTTCGCGCCAGGGTCGCACATCCAGAGCAAGAACAGAGCGTCGGCCACGGCCAGCTCGCTGGAAACCAGCACTGGGAGCTGGTGGCCGTCCAGTTGCAGACCGATGGTCTCCTGCCGCCAGGTAAGGAAAATACGAATCAACGCTGCCACGGGATGGCATTCCGTGATTCCTCCTCCTCCTCCTCCTCCTCCTCCTCCTCCTCCTCCTCCTCCTCCTCCTCCTCCTCCTCTTATCTCCTCTTGCACATTGCGGCACTGCTGCGCGAGAGGAGGGCGTGCTCCTCTGGAGACGTGCGCCGAACGGTCGCGGCCGGATCCGCTTCTCGGATTCTTCCTCGCTGTCACCGCTTGACTTCTCCTCCGACTCCTGTTTATGGTCTTCCTCCATTGAGACGAAGCGAGGACGAGGACAAAATCGGATGAGGGTAAATCGAGAATATGTGAGATCCGGCGGCCCTGGAGGAAATTTCGGGCGCCGCGGCATTCTCAGAACGTTCCAGAACGCTCTGAGAGAGTTTCGGAACGCTCTGAACGGAATTATCCTCGTCCTAGTCCCGTCCGATCCTCCTGTCGCCAAGACCGGTCAAACTCAGACACGCCTGCACCAGGAGAGGACCCTATGCCATCTCGAACATCGGTCGAAATCCTCGGATGTCGGTCTGGAGATGGTACTATTCGCAGAGATGAAGCCTCGAGCTGGGACCCCGCGAGGCCTCAGAGCCGCGCCTGACCACAATCTTCGGCGAGGCTTCACAGAACGCACAGGCACTTGAACGCATGCCCATGTCGAAAGATTATTTACACTGCCTGCTCTGCACAGCGAACCACGCTAATACCTTTCCAAGAACTTGCGCTTGCTCAGCCAAGAGCGCCTGGCGAATCTTCATCAAGCGTGGCGGATCTTCATCAAGCGCTACAATTCAAACATGAATCAAAAACAAACATATTCCAGACGATGCGATGCCAAGTCTCCCTCGCACACATTACAAAAAATGCTGAGATTCCCCCTTACCCTCATAGCCCCTCCGTCCTCCTCCTCCTCCTCCTCGTCCTCCTATTCCTCCTCCTCCTCCTCCTCCTCCTCCTCCTCCTCCTCCTGCGGAGCAATGCCCAGTCAATGTCTCTTGCAGCCCGTGACGCAAAGGGTCGGCGGCATGAGCCGTCAGGCCCTCGCAAGAGTTGCTGCGCGCACAGACATCATGCTTGCATGCTCGACTGGGATCTTCCTTCCAAACAAGCCAAGCTATTCAAGACGCGAGCTCTCAGCTTTCCACAGCAGAACCTCGCTTTGGACACTGGTCGCATGTAATTGTTGCGTGCTGCTGCGATCAATGCAGCCCGACGCGCCCAGTCGTGCAATTGACACAGCAAGGCGGTATGTGCTCTGCGGCCCCCGCACATCCAGGGGCCCGGAGGGTGGACTTGAGGCTCCCTTCCGCCCGCCGCCCGCCGCTCAGCCCCTGCCCCAGCGATCCTGGAACGTCTTGAACTTCGCCCGTCTCTCCTCCGGGACGCACTCCGGCTCCTGCCGGGGGTGAAGGCTGAGAGGAGGGGCAGCGCATGAGAGGCCGCCGAGGCGCACCTGCACCTCTGAGCAGGACGTGGTGCCACGACAGCAACAGGCCGAAGGGAGGGGGGGAGGGAGGGAAGGCAGGTGGGCGAAAAAAGTAACAACACCAAAAGTTCGACCAGAATTTCGAAGAGAATCCGGCCGTGGCAACGAGATGCCTCCAGAATAAGCAGCGATATCGGTACCTTCTCTCCTCCTCGGCCTTCGTGCGTGCTCCCTGGATCATGTTTCCATAGTACTCGCCACAATGCCCGTGACCGACCCCGCGCTCCCCCCCTCGCGCCCCCCCTTTTGCTTACCCGGGTCACGCTACGATTCGCGCCGGCGCCGCCTGGGATGGAAACTGGGCATTCCTCAGCATTCCCAGACGGCGCCGCCGACCATCGTGACGTGACGAGCGCCCTCCCCCTCTCCTCCACCCCCCGCGGGCACGCCCGTCCCAGACCACCGACGGCATGATTTTTGTAGAGCGTCGACCCCCAAGGAGGTCTCGGCCCATTCCCCGGGAGCGCTTTCGCATCCAGGGCGCGGAGCTTGTGGACGGCCCCGAGGCCCAGCAGGGGCCGACAATTGTGGAAAACCGCCCGTCGATATTTTTGACGACGCGAGGGGGTCTGGGGTTATCTGAAGATATCTGAAGAAGCGAAAGCAGCATGAACTTAGACCTTGGGAGGTCCACGCGGATTTCTTGGATCGGCGCTGGACCATCCTCCCTGGCGCGCGGGGCGCGCTAGTGGCGGCGCAGGAGGCGCCGCCAGGGTGGCCCCAACGCCGATCCAAGGCAAATCCGCGCGGAACTACGAGCGTGTATGCTCATGCCGCTTTTTGGCCTTCGATGATATCGCCAGGGGACAGGAAAGCGGTATCTTGCGCGCCCCCGCGCGCGAGCCCACGCACGTCGGGCTGGCCGATCGGCCCGGCCCCCGCGGCCTCGGCCAGCCCCTGGGCCGCGGAGCCCAGCGCCTCACGCCGAGCGGGCGGATGCGGCCCGCTCCAGTACCGCCAGACACGGCAGCACTTGCCCCCCAGGCACGGCAGCCCTCCCACGTCTCTACCAATTTTGCTCCAACGACGGCACGACAACTACCCAGCTGGCTCCTGGCTCCTGCCTTTTCCACAACCCTCACCACTACACCACTACACCACACGCCCACTGCGCACTCACTGCCACCATGACAGCAGCAGCAGCAGCAGCACCAGCACCAGCACCAGCTGCCGCACGACGCGGCACCAGCAGCCCTCCGCCTACGCGGCACACGGCAGCACACTCCAACTCCAGCACCACGCCTACCTCTACAACCGCAATCTCCTGTCCTGCGGGTACCTCGCGAACCTCCACTTCGCGAACTCCCTGCACGCCGGCCTCACCCTCGCCTGCCTCCTCTGAGGTACCTCCAGGCACCCCCCTAGCCCACCCCTATCCCTTACCTCTTCTCCTTGCAGCTCCCCGCCCCCCACCTTTCGCCCTCTAACCTCCTCCACCTCACCCCACCGCCAGCCACTCGCGGGACAGGGATGGGGGCGGCACGACGGGGCGAGGAGGGGGAAGGAGCCGTGCTCGGCACAGGCCTCCAGGGGAAGGTGCAGCTTCTCCTTGAGGCCGTGGGCCAGGCGGCGGCACTCTCACCAAGGGCCAGGCCGAGGGGGCCGCCACTCCCCTCCACCTCGGGCGGTGGTGGCTCTGCCTGGGCCAACCCCGCTCCTCAGCTGCCCTCTCGACTCCCGCCTCTTGCACTGTCCTTTCTCCTCGCGCAGCCGCTGTCACCGCGCCTTGTACCAAGCTCAACGCCCACGCCCCTTCTTCCCACCCCCACCATCCCCCACCTGCACGGCTCACTCCTGCTGCGTGCCGCCGCGTCGCACACTCCCCCCCGCACGTTGTGACCTCCGGACCTGGGGCTGGAAGGAGGACGGGCCCCTTCTCAAGGACAGGTGAGCTGAGGCGAGCCTCTCCCTCCCCCCCGGGAGGGTGGGACCCACACTCGGTCCATCTCTGCACCCGCACTGCGCAGGAGCGTAGCTTCTCTTTCTTCCTTCCTCCTCCATGGTCACAGATATCCGCCCTCCTCCTCGCTGATCTCTCCTCTTATGCCTCTTGGCGTCTCGTCGTTCTCCTCCCGCGGGCCGCGGGGGGGGTCTCGAGGGCTCTAATCGCTCGCTCGACGAGGCTACCGGCATCGCTGAGTCGCGGAGGAGGAGACGGCGGAGGAGCGCCCAGGGTGCGGACAACACTTGTATCCATATCCATTGCGCCTTAGACTTTTGCGCTCCCTTCCACAGAAGACCAGAGGCGCAGTGGATATGGATAAAGTCCTGACCCTCTATGTAGGGGCTAGACTTTTCTCCATCTCCACGGCCTCGGCCTGTTGGCACCTCTTCCCAGAAAGTCCACGAAGCAGTGGATATGGATATCAATCGTGCCCGCACAGGGTGCACGGCTTCCCCTGGGGCCGTAGGCGACCCGAGAGGGAGGAGGAGGAGGAGGAGGAGGAGGAGGAGGAGGAGGAGGAGGACGAGGAGGAGGAGGAGGAGGAGGAGGAGGAGGGGGAGGGGGAGGGGGAGGAGGAGGAGGAGGAGGAGGAGAGGATGGGGAGGGGAGAGGGAGGGAAGGAGGGAGGACATCTGGTGTGCTCGCGTCATATCTGACATCCTACCCCTCCCTCCCAACCCTTACAACGGCGCAGATCCCCTCTCTATTCGCACAGTCGGATGTCGAGCAGGGCAATGATCCCGAAAGGGTACGCGATGCATTGTAGAGCACGGCATGGCATGGCGTAGAAGAGCACCGCAAAGCGTAGTATCAACCCAGCATTGCATTGCACGCTGTGGCACGGCACGGGAAATGACGCCAGCGCTGCAGCGGGAGCACGAGTCGAAACGAGCGGAAGCGCGGAAATGAGGCCAGCGCTGCAGCGGGAGCACGATTCGGAACGAGCGGAAGCGCGGAAATGAGGCCAGCGCTGCAGCGGGAGCACGATTCGGAACGAGCGGGGCCCGAAAATGAGGCCGGCGCCTCAGCGAGAGCAGCATTTTGAAAAAAAATAAATGCAAGCGAAAACCCAACTCCCGGGAAACCTGTGTAAAAAACAGGACGCGGGGGGGGGTGGCGAACACTCCCAGCACGTCATCAGGGGAAGAGGGAGAGTAGTATTCGTATTGAGTAATTGTGGAGGAGGGAGGAGGAGGAGGAGGAGGAGGAAGGGAGTAGGAGGAGGAGGAGAAGGAAGAGGACGGGTCGCCTAAGCCCTTCGGAGAAACCCTCCAGCACGGGATGTCCTTCTCCAGCCGCGCGTGCAGCGCGCCCACGAGATCCCGCAGCCGGCGCTTCCGCTCCGTGGCGAAGCGCTGCATCTCCAGCGCCTCGCGGGGGGGGCTCTCCGGCGCGCGGGCCCGGCGGGCAGGGCGTCGGAGAGAACGGCCGCCATTCCTCCTCCTCCTCCTCCTCCTCCTCCTCCTCCTCCTCCTCCAAGCTAATCTTAGCCAACAGTCGAGAGCTTGCCGACCTCGGAGCCGTGGTGTACTTGAGGTACGAGTTGGACGCAGGCCAGGGCATGATCGCAGCCGCAGTCGCGGCAGGAGTGGCGTACAACGAGACGAGCAAAGAGATGAAGAAGCGCGCAGACGGTGGCGAGACGGTGGATCACCAAGGACGCGCCGCTCCTCATCTACAAATCTTTATGGCAGTATGGGAGTACGGAGCCACCAAGACGGTGGCAGAGGAGGCGGACCCTCTTATCAAACAGAGGGCCGAGAAGCTCAAGGTGGACATGCGCACGTTCTGGGACGAGAAGCTCGCGAAGGTTCCGCTGTCAGATATCGCCCGTGCAGTCCAGTACTTCCGCGTTCGTATTCATCGCAAGGTCGAGGGCCAGAAAGACAAGGCAACTTTTCTCTTCAAAGTGGATCTTCATCACAACATGGGGGCGGTGATCGGCCCGATGGTGGAGACGCTGGTGGCGGTGGAGGGGGGCTCCTTCCTTTCGGGCGCGGCCCCGCGGGGACCGCTGGAGAGGGAGATCTCGAAGTTTCTCGATCGCAAGGACCACAAGTAGGACGTGAGGCGCCCCCTCAGCTGGCGCCAGAAAGGGATAGCAGTGTTCAGGACAGTCGTGATATGCTAGCCAGCAGATTTCCGATGATGGCCAGTAGTGAGAGACTAGCATCACTTGTAGCAGCAGGTAGTGTGACGCAGGATCAGATTGCTCGGGCAGTAAGTAGGACCCCAGTTAGTCTTCCAGAAGGTATCGCAGTGACAACAGCTCCTGAGATCCCAGTAATTAATATGCCTTCGAATCGAGGCCGTGGTGGCCGACACGTCGGGAGTGGGAGGCGGGGGGCGAGCTCGGGTGGGCGGGGGAAAGGACGAGGTCGCCGCGCCTGATGTATGGGCCCCCTCTGAGGGCTGCGTGCCTATCGGGGTGCCCATCGGCCAGTGCAATCTTTGCTGTGAGCCTGAGAGGGGCTTGCATCGTTAGTCGTCTGGTTTCGAAGGAACCCTCTCAGAGTACAGTCAAGTTTTTTCGAGCTTCGAGGTCGTGATCTTGACAGGGACTCCATGAGGATCTGCTCTGCTCAGCTCCCTCCTCCTCCTCCTCCCTCCTCCTCCTCCCCCTCCTCCCTCTCCTCCCTCCTCCTCCTCGTCCTCCTCCTCCTCGTCCATCTCTCCTCCTCCTCCTCCTTCTCGTCCTCGTCGCTTCTCCTCCTCCTCCCTCTCGCTTCCTCTCCTCCTCCTCCTGCCTCCTCTCTCCCCCCCTCCCTCAAAAAAACCCTCCACTCTCGTCCCTCCGCCTCCCCCTCCTCCTCCTCCTTCTCCCCTCCTCCTCCTCGCTCCTCCTCCTCCTCCTCATCATCATCATCATCATCATCATCATCTCATCATCCTTCATCTCATCACCCTCACACTCACCCTCACCATCACCATCACTACATTCATCCTCATCAATCATGCATCATCATCAGCACATCATCATCATCATCTCATCACAGCATCATCATCATCATCATCATCATCCATCGTCATCATCATCATCATCATCAGCATCATCATCATCATCATCATCATCATCATCCTCATTCCTCATCCTCATCATCATCATCATCATCATCCTCATCCTCATCTCATCCTCATCCTCATCCCCATCGCTCATCCCCCTCATCCTCATCCTCATCATCACACCTCATCCCTCATCCTCATACTCATCATCATACATCAGCAGCAGCATCAGGCATCATCATCATCAGCATCATCATCATCATCAATATCTCATCATCATCAGCATCATCATCATCATCATCATCATCATCATCATCATCATCATCATCATCATCATCATCATCATCATCATCATCATCATCATCATCATCATCATCATCATCATCATCATCATCATCATCATCATCATCATCATCATCATCATCATCCCCATCCTCCTCCTTCTCCTCCTCCTCGTCCTCCTCCTCCTACTTCCAAGACTCCGAGAGGGATCTCAAGTCGAACTACACACCCCATCATCAACCCTTCACTTCAAGGTGCCTGCTTCTTAGCTGGCCTCCTCCTGACTGGCTGGGAATGCCCATCATCATAGGCTCATTTCGACGCGCATCAAGGAGTCGAGTCGCTCCACTTCTTCTTGTGGGAGAGGGGGGCACTCCTCGAATGAACTGCTACACGGCATCTTTCGGGGGTCGGCAACAGGGGGGGTACTTAGTTGAATGAACTGTCGCGCGCCACTATCGCGCGCCTCCTCCTCCTC